ATGTACTCAATAGGAAAAAAATAAACAACCCAATCCAAAAATGGGCAGAAGACCTAAGCAAGCAATTCTCCAAGGAAGACATACAAATGATCAATAGGCACATGAAAAAATGCTCCATATCACTAATTATCAGAGAAATGCAAATCAAAACTATGATGAGGTATCACCTCACTCCACTCAGGATGGCCATCATTCAAAAGTCCACAAATGACAAATGCTGGGGAGGCTGTGGAGTAAAGGGAACCCTCTTACACTGCTGGTGGGAATGCAGTTTGGTGCAGACACTGTGGAAAACAGTATGGAGATTCCTCAAAAGACTAGGAATAGACTTACCATATGATCCAGGAATCCTGCTCGTGGGCATATATCCAAACGTAGGTGTTTATAACACCAAATACAGCACTGTTTCACTTAATTATAACTGAAATATGGGAGAAACACTTGAGTACTTCAAAAAGGCCACAATGGTCTTTCCTGTTTCTAGAAAATGCCAGAACTTATTCCTACCTCAGTATCTGTGCACTTGCTTTCCCCACAACCTGGAGCATTCTTCCTTCCTGGAGACTTTTCAATGACTCAAATATCACCTGCTTAGAGAAGCTTTTCAAGAGCACCTTATCTCAAGATGCCACCCCCTGTCTCCGCCACTCTCTATCATTGCTTTGTTTTATTTCCCTTAAAGTCTTGTCACTCAAAGAGTGATCCACAGTCCATCAGCAATGGCATCATCTGGGATGCCAGTAAGAAATGCAGACTCTCAGACCCCACTTCAGACCTAATGACTCAGAATCTGCATTTTATTAAGAATTCTCTAGGTTATTCACTTGTACATTAAAATTTGAGGAGGACTTTTAGAGCACATATCACTTTCTGAAACTAACTTCTTTATTTTTTGTGCATTTTTAATGTTAAGAAATATTTCATCATAACTGAAAACTATGAAGGAAAAGATAATGGACATCCATATACCTGGCTTAGTCTATATTAACATTTTACTATGTTTTTAGATCTTAAAAATAATAATTTAGCAGGGAGTGTATAGCTCAAGTGGTAGAGAGCATTCTTAGCATGCATGAAGTTCTGGGTTCAATCCCCATTACTTCCTCTAAAAATAAATAAATAAACCTGATTATCACCCCTGAACAAAAAAATAAAAATAATATAGAGAAGACCCC